AACCATTAGTGGCCGTCCCCTGGAGGGTCTGATGTGAGACAGACCACAGTGGGCGGCCGTCTCCCTGGCTCTGCTGACAGTCCTTTGTGCAAATACAGGTTAGTATTTAGTATTCAGAGTATACAGTCCATGTCAAACCAACTGTTACTACTAGGTAGGGCTTGCGTCATAGCCTACGCCTGGCCCATGTTGTTTAACCCTGCGTTTAGTGTGAATGACATAGGAGTATAGGAGTATAGGCCTATAGGCTTACCAATAATAATTACACTGCATGCTCAGTTATTAAGTGGGTGGTGACCTGGGATCTCTTTGTGCTGCGTAATGAACCAGTACTACATCAGTACATGATCCAACATACTAGATACTCACTACACACATGACAGCAGAAACAGTCACATACACGATGTGTGAGACTCATTTCAGGGCAAAAATATGAGACGGTGGGGGGGGGGATGGGGAAAAGCTGGTAGCATGTTGCAGTTAGGATACGTCATGTGTGGCCCACACATGACACACACACATGATGACATGCTTATTACAGCACAACAGCCTCCCCCCCCCCCCAAATAAAGCGTACATACATACAAGCCATGTATGTGCCCCCCCCCCTAATGTGTGTAACACTAGCTGGCTAGTGCTGGGTCGGCTAGCTAACCAGCATAGCTTAGGGTGGTTGCTACGTTACACGGCTCCTCACGGCCTACAAAGACGACACAGCAACAACAACAACAACAACAACAATAACAATAACAACAACGACTAAAAGGAGAGGTTGTTGTTGTTGTTGTCGTTAGTTAGTTAGTTTCTCCCCCATCGTCCCCCCGGTGGACGTGTTGTCCCGGGGGTGGTGGGGGTGGTGGTGGTGGTGACCAGCCTCCACCTGTGCCGTTTTGTGTGGCGTCCGCTACGCCTTATGGTGCGTTTGTGCGCCGGTGTTTTTTTTTGTCCCCCCCCCCCCCGTGGAGAGACAACACTCCCCCAAAAAACACGCGAGTCAACGTATGTGTGTGTGTGTGAGAGAGAGAGAGAGAGAGAGAGAGAGAGGGGGAGAGAGAGAGAGAGAGAGGGAGAGAGGAGAGAGAGAGAGAGAGATGTGGACTTACCGCATGCGACGAACTTCGCCACTCGGTGTTTTTTCTCCAACGCCGTTAAGTGACAACAACACACAAAAAACCCACCAAACAAACCCTGGGAGCCAGGCCCGTGGGTATTGCGCAAGCTCCGACCCGCAAAGGACTCTGGGAAGTGTAGTCAATGGTAGTAAGTCGTTGTTGGTGAAGTCGATTTGGTTGGAGTTGATAGAGGAACGTACAAAGATATATTAATGTATTATGTATATAATATGTAAAATACATAATATATAATATAATGTTAACTACAGGCTCCTTTTTCTGTTAGTAAACATTGTGACGGTTGTTTTGTGGGCGGGGCGTAGGTGGAGGTAGAACAATTCCTTAAAGCCGACGCTGACATACAGGTTTTCACCTTTACAACACAAGGAGATTTAACACAACATATTTAATAATATGCTCTGGAGTAGAGGCGATTTTCTTTGTGTGTCACAGTAGTTTGAATGAACAATTACTTATATAAGGCAATCACTATAAATTATTCTTTAAATCTCATGTGCATGCGGCATCAGCGTATCACAGGAAATATTGGAGCTGATCTGGATCAAACACAACTTGAACAAATTGATCACTTGCCCAGTCCTGAGCATCTCTGGTAGGCCTAATGGTCTTCCAGTAGAAGCTTTGGTTGACCTTCTCCTGCATCCTCTTGGCTCCAAAGTGGCCAGCATGGACTTCTGTAAGGACCTCATCCTTCTCTTTCTCAGTGAGGATCACCCTCCTCATTGAAAGGCCATTCTCCCCAAGGTAGTACATATGATTTCCTAGAAAGAGGGAGAGAACATACAGCATCAGCACTGCATCAGCTGTAGATTGCTTATAACTTAATTCAGTTTCCTTTGCAGGGCCTACTAATTTGTGAAAATGGAAGATGAATTAAGATGGACTGCATAAAATGTTATTTAATTACAGAATACCTTTAAGAGTGAATTTTTTTGCATCCCTTACGTAAATAACGTAACTTACGCAAATTACGTAAGTTATTTACGTAAGTTACGCAATTTACGTAAGTTACGTAATTTGCGTAAGTTGCGTAACTTACGTAAATTAGGCCCTACGTAAGTTATTTACGTAACTTAACTTACGCAAATTACGTAAGTTATTTACGTAAGTTACGCAATTTACGTAAGTTACGCAACTTACGCAAATTGCGTAACGTACGTAAATTACGTAAGTTATTTACGTAAGTTACGTAATTTACGCAATTTGCGTAACTTACGTAAATTACGTAAATAACTTACGTAATTTGCGTAAGTTACGTAAGTTGCGTAAGTTACGCAAATTACGTAAGTTATTTACGTAACTTACGTAATTTACGTAAGTTACGCAACTTACGCAAATTACGTAAATTACGTAAGTTATTTACGTAACTTACGTAATTTACGTAAGTTACGCAATTTGCGTAAGTTGTGTAACTTACGTAAATTACGTAATTTGCGTAAGTTGCGTAACTTACGTAAATTACGTAAGTTACGTTACGTAATTTACGTAAGTTACGTAAGTTACACAACTTACGCAAATTACGTAAGTTATTTATGTAACTTAATTTACGTAAGTTACGCAAATTGCGTAAATTACGTAACTTACGTAAATAACTTACGTAATTTGCGTAAGTTACGTTATTTACGTAAATTACGTAAATAACTTACGTAATTTGCGTAAGTTACGTAAATTACGTAAGTTACATAAATAACTTACCAGAGAAGAGTAATACAGATGACTCTCTGGGTCACATAATTAAGGCTGGGCTGGACTGAACTTCTTAACTTTGGCACACAGACTTGGGCCCGGAAACACTTCAGTGCACTTCAATCAGCTGGGAGCTAGAGGTAGTGAACGTACATCCACAGCCTGAAGCCCAGAATCAAAAAGGTGCATGTTGGTATGGTATGCAAGATTCTTCATCGGCTGTGAAGTAACTCGATATGCAAGAGCAGGGGCAACAGCATCTTTAAAAGGTAGGCCTAGCCTATATGGTGCTTTTCGCTCTGCCTGTAGGCTTTTTTTTTTCAATACCACCAAGGCTGAGATGAGCTGTAAATGAGGCAGAGAAATGCATCTATCCGTTGCCCAGATGAATTCTGTCTTTGAGGTGAAGGTGAAGGCCTCCAATCTGATAGATTGACCCTACTTATACTGAACGTGATAGGCCTACATGATGATAAATATCCAACATGCCTCTGTGTGTCAAAACAGAACATTGGCTTGCAATATTTAGTAGGAGTAGCTGAGTAGATGACCGCGGTGCTGGCGCACATACGTTTTTATAACGTCAAACATTAAAACACATCGATTGATTTGGTTTAATTTGGTTTTCTTGTCTTTATTGTTTTGTTTTTGTTTTTAATTCAATCACCAATGGCATCAATTAATTGTTCTATGTGTACCACGTATGGTTGTGGTCGTGCTGGTGGTGGTGGTATTTTAACATTTAAACGGTGCCAATCTCATTAAAGTAGCCTAGAGCCAATTGTCCCAGTCGGAACAAACAAAAATAACCCAATCCACATTTCAAAGACAATGTCAAGAATTAAATAAAGCTCAACCATCTGATGTTGTTTAACATTGATGTTCAACATGACTTCCTTGATCAACAGTGCAAGTCATTTCAGTCCCACTTTCAGACCGTTTCTCAAACAGGATTCAACAACAATGTAAAATAGGGGATTGTATATCTAATAAGCCATATTAGACATGTCAGGCAGTTAGATTACAAAACCAACTGTAAGGTCCTTTAGGGCAGGCACACAGGATAAATTGACAATAAAGGATTCCTAGAAAACATTAGGATATTTTATCTTATATCTTGCCAGAGCAATTTCATGGCTCCAGAGACTGGTCTGTTGTGAAGAGATAAAGGAAAGGGAAGAAAGCAACCCACAGATGTTTCTTTTATGTTCGACATATTGTGTCAAACACTGCCGTCTGCAGGCCGTTGGGTGAACAGCTCTTCAATACGATTCTTGTGGTTGTTTTGATGATGTTTTCTGTGCTGTTTGTGAGTCGTGATTTTTTCAGATTATACATTTCATCGAGCTTAATACAATGAGTATGGTGATTCCGTAAGTGGTTATCCATCGCAGTTTGAAGTCTATTTAGTTAGCCTTTGGCCCATTTAAATTTAAATAGGCCTAGGCCTATACGTACACACACATGTATGATATAAAGCCTAATTTATAAATAGAACACAAAATTCACATTACTACAACAGTAATCACTAATATGTTGTGTCTTGGACAGGCACCATTATCCATGTGCTATTCATATCGATAGATATGATTGAATTTCATTTAAACAGTATTGTCAGTTGCTGAGATCATAGTTAAAAAAAATAATGGAATAAATTATATAATCATATGGCTAGGCCTACCAGATCACTTATCTAGTGCTGAATTTCACTTCACCATTGCTGAAATAGTTCCAAGAAATCACAAAAACATAATAATAATAATAATAATAATAATAATAGGAAAATAAAAGAAAGTATGCCAAAAGTAGGCCTATACCTTGATATAGTTTATGAAAAAGCCTAAGAGCTTGCGTACATTTTATTGATTCAAAGGCCAATTTCATATTGAGTTACAATTAAGTTGATATGCCTCCAGTCAATAAATGAAAGTGGCGCTACAACAGCATCCTGGATGCTGTTGTAGCACCACTTTCATTTATTGGAGTTGTGGATGCACATTATGGATGCTGCATCCATAATGTGATTCAGTAGTGACTTCTTAAAACCACATATTACGTAGTGCTTTTACTCATTAATGTCGAACTGCATATTATCCATCTCACTCCTTATTGAACTTGTAAACTTTATTTGAACCGTATTTTGCTAAATAAATCATGAAGACCAAAGAGGGTGCAGATGGGGTGCAGGATAGTCAGTGGTTATAGAGTGTTTGACTCCCAACCGAAAGGTTCTGGGTTCAAACCTCAATGTCCGCAGATACCTGTTGACATCCTAAGCAAGATGCCTCACCACACTACCTTCTCATGAATAATCTGTCGCTAAAGTCGCTTTGGATAAAAGCATCTGCTAAATAGTAAAGATTAATACAATAACAAAAACAAACCAATTCAAGCATACATTTGGGCAGTTCAAAAGACTGTGACATCCAAAGAAAAAATGAAGGCAAAAAAAATAATTAATAGGCCTACAACAATACATAGCTCAAAGTTTAGAGTTACAATATCTATATGAAGTAAACTACATGAGTAAGAATCTAAATAAAAATCTGGCTCTTAATAACAGTACGACCCAGTAAGAGCTGCCTGTCCAACACTTAACAGTGGAATAAAATTCATCATCTGAGAATATTTGTTCATGTGACTCAGCTGAAAAAAGCAGCGGACGATTATTGCATTGTCAGATGTAAACCGTGCGACCGTGTGCAGATAAATGCCTGTAATGTAAGTGATCTTCTATCGCTGAATAATTCATCAGCATTAATTACAGCGATTTTTATGCTAGAAATTCATCACTTTAAATTCACCCCTGTAGGTACTCTGGGTCAAGGGCGTATCTCTGGTTTCAGCTTTGGTGCACAAGATGAGACGTGCACAAGGAATTTTAGCGCACAGTTTAGTTTAAGGGTTTCGTTTTAGGGTTAGGGTTTCATATTAGTGTTAGGGTTTCATATTAGGGTTAGGTTTTCATATTAGGGTTACGGTTTCATATTAGGCTTAGGGTTTCATATTAGGGTTAGGGTTTCATATTAGGGTTACGGTTTCAAATTAGGCTTAGGGTTTCATATTAGTGTTAGGGTTTCATATTAGGCTTAGGGTTTCATATTTGGGTTACGGTTTCATATTAGGGTTAGGGTTTCATATTAGGGTTAGGGTTTCATATTAGGGTTAGGTTTTCATATTAGGGTTACGGTTTCATGGCTTAGGGTTTCAAATTAGGGTTAGGGTTTCATATTAGGGTTAGGGTTTCATATTAGGGTTAGGGTTTCATAGTAGGGTTACGGTTTCATATTAGGCTTAGGGTTTCATATTAGGCTTAGGGTTTCATATTAGGCTTAGGGTTTCATATTAGGGTTAGGGTTTCATATTAGGGTTTCTTCTTGAATAACCTTTGCTCTGATGGTCGTAGAGAGAGACTTGTTAGTTGGCTCCGTCCCCACTAATTCGGGGACGCCCATTCCAACGGACACTACGTCAACCGGAAGTACCAGAAACCACTTCCGTACCATACGCACGGATCTCCGGATCTCCGGAACCGAATGTCGCAATGACTCGGGACCAAGACTGGTGTGTTCAGCGTCCCCAAGAACCACCAGAGGGACATCGGTTCTGAGTATTTCCGACCTTCATAAAAAGCAATATTAGCCTAAAGAAAAACTTACTACCGCTCACCCTAATGTTAATGGCCGTGGTGCAGGTTACACCACTGTCGATTAATGGGTACATAAGCACCCAAGATATGTATATAAAGTTAGAAATGTTTCCAAAATGGTGTTAAAGTCCAGTTTTTGAACGGTTCTTTTTAACGCAATTCGGCGATGACGTCACGTGAGGGAGATGTGGTGGAAGGTAGCCTCAGCCTTGTACTAGAACTAATGGCGTCTTCGTTCGAAAATTAAACCTGCACCACGGCCTTTAAACTACACAAAATTAGAGTTAGAGTTAGGGTTTCATATTAGGGTTAGGGTTTCAAATTAGGGTTAGGGTTTCAAATTTGGTTTAGGGTTTCAAATTAGGGTTAGGGTTTCAAATTAGGGTTAGGGTTTCAAATTAGGGTTAGGGTTTCAAATTAGGGTTAGAGTTTCATATTAGGGTTAGGGTTTCAAATTAGGGTTAGAGTTTCATATTAGGGTTAGGGTTTCAAATTAGGGTTAGGGTTTCAGGCCGGTTCATTGCAGATCAGATGATGATGATGACGATGATGTTGTTTTTCTTTGTAAGAGGACAGAGATGATTTTGTTAATTTTAACAGTTTCTATAAATACATTTTCAGTTTGATTGCAATGGACAATTTACTGGTTTCATGGCATTGGTGGGGACATGTCCCTAGCGTCCCTACTCAAAACTATGCCTATGCTCTTGGTCTCTTCCTATAATCAGACAAAAGATAATTTTAATTTATAAAAGGCTACTCATCATCTACATTGTTGGGATGAAAAAAAAGTTTTCTATGAAAATCCATAGCAGTAGGGTGGTCTTGTACTTGTTAACACCAGATCGAATACAGCTGAATGAAAATTAGATGCTATTAGTCTTTTCTTAAATACATGAATAGTAACGGTAACCTGCCCCATTTATGCCCCATTTTGGTGGTAATTAGGCTACGCGTATCTTACCTGCATTTTACCTGCTATTATTTGCATTTTATCTGCATCTTACCACATCTTACGTCAAAAATCTAATAGACGTCAGTCTAATAGACGTCAGAATATAGAAGACTACTAGGCCTAGATATTGAAAATAGATGTCATATACAGTAGATGTCTGAAAGACGTCACGGAAAAGACAGAGAGAGAGAGAGAGAGAGAGAGAGAGAGAGAGAGAGAGAGGGTCAAAATGGCCTAGCCTAGCCTGAGCAGCGGGTTTGTGTGGAAGATGGAGGGAGAGAGAAACAGGACTGGAGAGGTAAAGGTAGCTCCTTGGGGAAATCTCCAGAGGAACACAGGCCAGTCCCCAGGCTCCCTGTCATCTGTTACCGGTCACACAGTCACATATGTGCAGCCAAAGTACACACACACACACACACACACACACACACACACACACACACACACACACACACACACACACACACACACACACACACACACACACACACACACACACACAAACACTCTCTTTCTAGCTTGTGCTCTTACCCACACAATCACACACACAGACAACACACACACACACACACACACACACACACACACACACACACACACACACACACACACACACACACACACACACACACACACACACACACACACACACACACACACACACACACACACACACACACACACACACATACTCTCTCTCTCTCTCTCTCTCTCTCTCTCTCTCTCTCTCTGGCTCTATCTCTCTTTCTAGCTTGTGCTCTTATCCCCACACATACCACACACACAGACAACACACACACACACATGTACTCTCTCTATCTCTCCTCCTTGGTCTTCCCAACTCCATTTATTCAGCGGACGTTTATTGGAAAGCATCTTAAAGTTTATCAATGGTTGTTTTGAGAATAAGAAATGCCCACAAAAGGAAATATGTATTTATCTGTTTGAGTATCTTTGGATTCATCATGTACAGATATCTAGGGTGAGTATATATTTCAAAACAATGTATGTTTGTATCTTATTTACTACATTATAGTAACATTTTACAATTATTTTGCTGTTTTGTCAACTCATTGCAATAGGAAAAACTTTCAAAATAGTTGTAGTTTTTTTGTTTTTGTTCTTACATACAAGGCATTTCAAATTTAAACCAAAAGCATAAAGAAAAGAATACATGTTGATTGATACGATTCATTGAACAAACACTGTCTTTTACATTGCAAGAATGAACATATTTCATTTTCAGAAATCTTTTTGCATTGGACATGTCATTTTGTAAAACGCATACTGGCTGCTGCTGTCGGTTTGAACAGGATGCTTGTCTATCTGCTTGTGCCTCGCAAATTCCTTTTCGCTCGTCTCATGAGTGCTCCATTCAAAAAAACACAAAAGTATTATGGCCCGCGTAACGCGGCGCCACACAAATGCCCAATTCTTCTCCAGGACGCCGGCGGGGGGGAGGAGGTTGAACAGGAAAGTGGGCCTGAACGCCAACACCTCTCAGTTCACCCTGGCCGGGGAGCCCTTCCGCATCCTTGGGGGGTCTATGCACTACTTCCGGGTCCCCAGGGCGTACTGGAGGGACCGCCTGATGAAGACGAAGGCCTGCGGCATCAACACCATCACCACGTAAGGCGGCCATCTGTAAAACAACCCCCCTGAGCGTTGCTGCCATAAACACCAGGGACCTGGGGGTGGTTGCAGGGGTGAGCGGTAATACGGGGAGGGGGAGGGGGGGGGGGGCGGGGATGGGTGGTGATCCTTGGTTCATGCGTGTGTGTGCGTTTGAATCCCTGCAGATATGTGCCGTGGAGTCTGCACCAGCCGGAGAGAGGCGTCTTCAACTTCCACACTCAGCTGGATTTAGAGTGAGCACTCGAACCTCCTCTTTGTCTGTCTGTCTGTCTAGTGGATCATATACAAAAACAATCAAAACTCGCAATCAAACTCACCTCACAGCTAACCTCCAGAGGTAGTGTTGTTGAGAGAATACCCCCCCCCCCCCACTTGCCTTGGCCTCCTAGTTATTACTAGCTGTGGTGTGTTTGGGGAGTTCTCCACGTTGTGTTGTGGTTTTAGATTCATATCATCATCCTCGTCCTCATCGTCAGCATCACCTTAAGCCGCAGGGCCCAGGGGAGACCAAGCAGGCGACAAACCCACCTGACAACCGCTGCAGGCATTTCCACAACAACAGCAACGCGGCGAGGCAATTAGCGGCAGCGAGCAGACACTCGGGGGGGCAGCGATGGGATGCTGTGTCAGCTAGCGTCGTGACCGCAAGCACACTGCCCATGCTTCCTAAACTACACCAGATAGAGATATGCGGCAGCGCGGCCACATATGCAACGTACAAGATTCATTTATGGACGATGTCTGATGTCACTCTGACCGTTTTGTAAGCGACAGCACCTGGCACCATTTCAGCCAATCAAAAAAGCGCTCTTGCGATAACCTGTTTTTTGCTTCCACCAAAGATGGTCCCCAGATGACTGTGATTTAGTGTTTGGTTACTCGTTAAAAAAACAAAAAAAACTCTCTCTCTCTCTCTCTCCCTCTCTCCCTCTCTCTCTCTCTCTCTCTCTCTCTCTCCTCTCACTCTCTCCCTCTCTCCCTCTCTCTCCCTCTCTCTCTCTCTCTCTCCCTCTCTCCCT